GCTGGTTATGGCAGTTCAATAGGACGCGGAGGAAGTCATTCATTTTTCGTATCTTGAAACGCATTTAAAACTATTTGAAAACCGCGTTTCTAGGTCTGACCCGCCAGCTGATACGTTCTGACTTGACAATTATTAAATTAAATAACCTCCCTTTAAAAATTATTGCCTATGCCCCTGATAGCGATTGGGACCATATATATATATCCATCCATAACATACTGTCTATACTAGGGTTTGCCATACCGTCCGGAAAATCCCGGACATGTCCGGAATTTAGGGTTAAATTTTGCGTCGGGAAGAATTTAAAAAATGCTCAAATGTCCTGCATCTGCAATCGTACTGTGCGCACTGCTAATACAGAACAGTATTTTTACTACGAGGTCACGAAAATAGTCAGGCACTGTCCGGAATTTTGCTTTTTCAAATATGGTGACCCTAGTCTATACGGTAGCCCAATCGCTCTCTACAGAAGGCTCCATTCAAATGACTGAAACAATATAACCATTCCACCGCTATCTTCTCCTCTAAATAGGTCCCATATTTTTTGAAGTCAAATTACTGTCTTTTAATTAACCTGCGAATCGATAAACGTAAACCTTGACACGACCGCCCTAAACAAACAAAAGTGACCGCTGTACTTTGAGTCCATCCGCTGCTTAATTGGCTCTCTTTAAATCGGACAATAATTCTAAGTTGCTTTAGACGCGATAATTTGACTGTTTGATTCATTCATACCTGGTTTCGTCTGAAGAGGGTAGACCAGAGTTTCCCCACTCATACATAGGTCACGACCCAGAAATTTTGAAGGTCGTTTGTTTATTCAACACAACCCTTAAAGTCACTGCCTTTATTTCCTACTGAATTTATTGGTTATCAGGTACTTCCGAAGTACGTGAACCAACATGGCGGACACCGGAACGTAGTATGTGTACCGGGTTAGGCCATAATTGTAATCCAATTTTAGTTCTATCACGAGTTCGGTACATAGCCAAGCGACTCCCGTAGTATTTGTACCTAAAATTATGACATACACCCAACCTGGCACACATACTACATTCCGGTGTCCGCCATCTTGGTTCACATACTTAGAGAGTATCGTTTATTTAGTATTGCTCAATAGTAATCGTATATGTGTGAAGTATCCCAGCGTAGAAACTTGGCATTCGCTGTTATTAGTCAGGTAATTTTGTAACCATTTAGGATAGAATGGATTTACATATTTATCCCGAGGGAGAGGAAAGCCGATAAGACGGCTTAATGATATGGCGAACCACGGCCTCTCGTCCGGTTACCATTCCAAGTCGGGTATGGGATTAGCTAGCCAGGTATTTGTTTTCGGAAGCATGGACTTGATGGTGGATGAAGCCGTAACCGACCAGCGGTTACGTGAACCACCCTACGGCGGCGAGGAGTCCAGCAATCCTCTCGCACATAATCATCCCCGCATGGGATTCGAACCTGCGATCCCACGAAAGGTAATCAGAGTATGCGTGTTCCTAACGCTTAGCACGATGCGCCACACCGCCGAGCCATTTAAGACGGGTTCCCAAACCGCGGCCCGCGGGTCAAATCCGGCCCGCGTGACGATTAAAAATGGCCCGCCGAGCTTAAGTGAAATAGTGTTCAACAGACTTTGTTTCTACTTTTTGCGATCTAGATACCGATAATTGTTATGTCATTATCACAGTTTAAGCACGTGTTTATCGTCACAATTCAATTACACCGGCATTTCAACTATACGTACCGGTATTAGGATTACATAGGGGAGTAATTTAGTTATGAGCCATTTAAGAAATCTTAGAGATGTCAAATCAAACTTTAGCGATTTGTCTTCTTTGCCAACGAACTATTCCAGTTCTGAAGGAATACAACATCAAGCGCAATTATGAGTCAAACAAACAAGTTTTAAAAAAATGTCAAATGAAAGTGAATCCACTGAGCCCCAGCTAAACCGTCGTACACTTACGGGCGCCACACTCTTCTGGCCCGCAAACATGCTTCCCGTTCTGATTTTGGCCCGCGAGCAATAAAGTTTGGGAACCCCTGATTTAAGGTATAAGCATTACATACCGTCTGGTATTTGAGCATATCCTTGGGTTACGAGATTTCTCAAAATTTATTTTTCAAAAATTTGGGTCGCTTGAACAAAGGTTGGGAACCACTTGTGCGGTGGCGAGAGTATTCCTAACGCTTAGCACGGTGCACAATCGTTAAAAGAGATTATGTTATTCTTACTTATCGCTGTATCTAGTTCAAGCGTCCTTGGGCAACGGCTAAATACGGATCTAAAGTCGGCTACGGCTTTATCCACAATAAAGGGCATCTGAAACAAATAATGGCAAACTATACGAGTGGGTTGACATAGAATCCATGAATGAATTGTCTTATCGAATTTTCTCACCCCTATCCTTTCCAAAGAAACCATTGGTCTTCCTGACTTTCTAAACCTAAACTCACTGAATTAACATAGACCAGTGGTCGGTAACCACCGGGCCGCGGCCCATCGGTCCGCGAAAAGGTGGCACAAAACGGGAATAATAACACAATCTAACCACAAACAATACGACTAAAACAGCAAACCAGGCAAACGCATTTTAGCAGCATGTCGGACTTCAAATTTAAGTAGTGTAAGCCAGTATGTCGCAATAATGCTGCGTCCTTTGCGTCTACGTAATAAAGTCTTATTTTAATCCGAATAATATCTCCCAAACAAAATGATTCTCGCTAACAGCGTGACTACTAGCAGCCAACCGGTCATACCTAGTCAGTGCTAATTCTATACTTTATTCTAAAATCATAAGGGTAGCACATTTTGTAATAAAATTAGTTATGGCTAAACAAACATAAATAACGTCAAACATCAATCAATACCCTGACATAGCTACATGAGCTTTACAGACGTTAGTTTTTGTTACCTTTTCCGACATCGTATTTATAGGAGGCCGAGTTTTTAATATTGACAACTACAAAATATTGAAGTAGGCTGGATGTAAGATACACGTTACGTGTATCACTTTCCGCCATATCTCCAAATTGGGAACAGTTACTGGTCAGTGAACAAGTACAGATATCGCATTGCAAATAGCATCACCTTCGTTTTGAGTATATTGTCAACATAAATTATTGATTATTGCGAAAGAATTGCTGGACTTCTCGCCGCCGTGGGGTTGTTCCCGTAGCCGCCGGTCAGTTACGGTTTCTTCCATCATCAAGTCCATGAATCTGAAACATATAACTGGTCAAGTTATCCCATACCTGACATGGACTGATAACTGGACGAGAGGCGTGGTTTCCCACACAAATAAGCTGTCTTACCCCGGGATGATCATGTATATTCTACCTTAAGGTATTTGAAACAGTAGATACATGGGCTTCTATGTGTTCTTTGTTTAAACATGGCCCTATAATTCAGTACAGTGGATCATAAGGTTTTGGCCATTTATTGGTACCGGTAAGTTTATTTAAAAAATTAGTAGATAGTAATATTCTCTAGTCTGAATTATATATCATTTTTTCTTCTTGTTTAGAGCTCTGCTCAAAGAGAAAATATTATTGAATCCAGCACAATAAGCAATACAAAGCCTTTAATCCAAGAAGCCAAAAATTGAAAATAACTGTTTTGAGAATATATGAAAAAAACATCAACTTTTTTTTAAAATAGTTCGGTAAATATTGCTGATCAAACCATGGTTGATTTCCGGCCTAAAAACCAATTATGTCTATGTATAATTTTTAATCAATATTGTTTTCAAAATTTGCCCTTCAGTACGAAAAACTCGTCTTGCCCATTGCTTTGCTCGGAGCAAATAGCTGTCGGGTAATAAGCAGGGAGGAACAGAAAGAAATATTTCTCAATCAACTTCGGTTTTAATTTTTTTCTTTTGTGTTTTTTCTTTATTTTCGGGTCAACTCCCACATTTTTTAGTTCCGAATTGTCAATTTTTATCAAACTTTCATCAGTAATGCCATTATCAGCATTTTTGAGTCCGTTTCTGCCTTTTTTAGATTTCTTCTTTTTTTCTTCAGTATTGTAGCATTTTCTTCGTGATTTAGCACCAAATTATCAGCACTTTTCATTATAATTTCATCCTTCCCACTATTTTCATCGGTTTTCTGAATTTCATTTTTTTCTATTTTATTGTTTTCTTTACAATTCCTTATATCTTTCTTCTTTTTCTTAGATTTTCCAGAATTTTCAGTGGTGTCCAGTTTTCTCTTCTTTATTTTACGAGGGTTTTCGCATTCTTTTCCAGCATTTTCATTGTCTTCATTTAATGAGATATTGACTGAACTCCCATTCCCGTCGTTCAATTCTTTTTTACGTTTCAATTTCTTTTTTTTCTTGGGTTTTTCAGCTAAAATTCCATCTTTTTCTGGATTATTTGAAACGTTTTCATCCAATTTCAGTTTTTTCTTTTTTTTATTGACAATTTCAGAATCATTTTTTGCTGATTCAGCAGTTTTTTCAACTTCATTTATTTTAACACCCTCTTTTTCCCGGGAATCCCGATTTGACTCCCCTTTACAATTTTTGACATCATTTTTTCCGTTTGCTGCAGAAAAAGCTGACCAAATTTCCTCCCCAAGTTTCAAATCATACATTCTCAAACTATCTTTCAAAAAATTGAGGAATTTTGGGCGCTTTCTTGGAATATTATCGTAGTTTTTTAGATTTTCAATAAGTTGTTTCGCTTTTGAGCTCAAATTTGAGTTAGAATCCGACAGAATCGAGTCAATATTATCAAGCCATTTTTGTTGCTTAACGTCACCTTTATTCGGTTTAAATTCCGTACCTTTAGCGGAATATTTTTGATCTTCGGTGATGCACGAAGTGTGGTTTTTGTAATCGTCGCCGTAAAAGTCACAACTACAATCAATGCAGGTTAAATATTCGCATCCGCGGCAAGTATAAACATGTTTTTCGACTTTGTTTTTCTTTAAAGATTCTCCACAGCCACTGCAGGTATAGAAAACCATTTTCTAAAATATTATTTGAAGCCTAAAAGTTAGAAAAAAAAGTTGGACAGGATAAAAGCAAAAATGGTGAAATGAACAAACTATTATTCCAAATACATTTTAAAATAAAATTCCTGGGTTGCCAGAATTCTCAGCACAAAACACAAATAAGTCAATGAATTAGTTTAAAAATGTTATTTAAACCAGGGATGTGCAACCTTTAATACAAAAACGCCAAATACAAACAACTGGGTGAAAACGCTTTATTTAACAAAGGCTTATTTAAACCAGGGTTTGCCAAAAAAATCACCTTTTTCCATTCTGTCATACCAGATACATTCTGATTTTGGTCTCAAAAACAAGAATTTTAGGAATTCCTTCCCGTTGAACTTTTCTACTCTCATCAGAGCTTTAGACAGGAAAAAAAGAAATGATATCTAATAATTTAGATTAGTTAGAGAATGTTACAAACTGATGAATGGTCAAAGCCCAATAGTATTCTATTCCAATTACATTCTGAATTATAATGTTGAACAAAGAACACATAAAAATCAATCTATATTCAGTGAATTCAAAAAAACTGTGGGAATTAATTTAAGAAATGATATTTGTACCAAGGGTGGTCAAAAAGAATAATCTGCAATTCATAATACATTTTAAAATGAGTGAATTTGCAAAATCTGTTGAAATTGGTGGCCAACAAGGGTGGCAAATAAGAATTTTAAAGCACATTTTCAAATATATATTCTTAACGAGGTCAAATGCTTTAAATCAGAACAAGTCAAGAAGTCAAAAACAAAATTTAAAAGACTAAAGCAATTTTACTAAGCATTTTTAACAGCTCACATAACACATATGACAATGTTTCCATTATTGAAATTTGATATAATGGTGGCCCATGTAAAAACCATCGTAGATGCGATCACCAAACCAGTGGGAAAAATATAAAAAGTCCAAGCTTAATGCTGCAGATTTCTGAAAGCATTAGGCATACTTATTGGGTTAAAAGGTATCAATTCTCACTCTGGAACAAAATCTAAGGCGTGAGGATGAATGATCTCGAGAAAAGCCATAATGGCAAAGAAGTTTATGATTAGATAAAACATTCGGACATTCAACTAAGTCCCAAAAGCTCAAAATTTAATGATTCTTTTTGAAAAAAAAAATAAAGTGTTGTATTTAGGTTTGGAAAAGTCTTCAGTATAGAAAGATAAGCAAAAAGTTTGTGGAGCGGTTATTGGAGTTCTTCAGTCATACATCTGAGTCCACAAATATTTATCCTCAGTTCCCGGGAATTCCCGGGGAGGATTATTCTTTCATTTCTCCTTCTTCATCATCTTCTTCTACTCCCCGGATGTAAAGTACGTTATTACAACGAATCAATATTTCTCCGAGATGTCCTGATAAAGCCCCATCAACATATTCTTCTGTGTTTGCCAGTTGCATGTTCATATACCTGGAATATTGTTTAAAGTTTTAACTTGAGATGGGATTTATCTAGGGGAAAAAAAGCGGTCAAATTGGCTGAAATCCAGCCACAATCAGTTAGTTGTTACATGAAAAGGGGAACCAAACTTAAAAATTATTTGAAGTTTTCAACTGAGAAATGACATTTTTATATTTATCTCAAGAAGAGGAATTTTGATGAGACAACAAAATCATATGACAAACTGCTACCACTCAGCTCAGCGATTGGCACATTGCAGTAAAACAAAGTTCTACGATTCCAAGATTTGGTTCAATAAAACAAATACCCTCTTTGTCTCTGAAATACGGGCATCTCGTACAATGCCAGTTGCGTAAGACTGTTTCATGTTTGTTGCGATAATAGTATAAATCAATCGAGACGGCAAACTCTTGAATTCTATGTTGAATTAATTTTTTTGTCTTTGGTAAATTTAATCATTTTTTCTGTGGATTCCAATTTTTTTGTATTTCACTTCCATTTAATTTATTGCGTAATTCCAGTTTGTGGTGATATAGAGGTTCCAGAGGTTTGCAGTCACTATTTTAAATGATGTCTTTAAATGTTGGAGGTTATTCTTGGAATCGTAGAACTTTGCCGTACGGTACCGGTACTTTAATTTCTTAAGGTAAAAATTGTGAAGAAACGGCTACGTTTGATGCATCATTTTGAAAGCCACGATACGCATGCCATCGCATTGCTCATTACAGGATTATCCGTCTTAACGGTTTCCCTATCTTCCAGGGTAAAATAAAATCTGAGCTTTTATTTGGCAAAGCCCGATTTATCCTGTTACCGGTACCGTAAAAGCGCCTAACTTCGGACAGTCCCTAACTTCGGACAAAATTTTTGAACGGCCATATCTTGGCTAAAACGCGCCGTATATTGCTAATTTTGATAATTATAGGTTGCGCTGTTATATCTACATCTATTCTCATCTTTTTTAATGTTGCATAATTATTTTTTTGGTAAAAAAACGGAAATTTTGCCGAAAATTGACTGCCCGGCATTCAACGGCGCAGATTGTCGCTCCTACTGAAGCTATCATCGTCAAAATACCATCATTCGGTAGAGGGCGACAACAATGTATATAATTTATTTGAGTGATCGCAAGATGTCGTACGAGATTTAAATAAAACCCAAAATTCTGAATTATAAATTCCGTAAGAATATTAGGATTTCACGCAGAGTCAAAAATTACGTCAACCTCACGTAGATTATTTTTCGCTCACTTCCGACACGACGTCACACTGCGTCGCGGAAATGAATTTTGACGCCAGACACAACGGAGCCAATATGACAATTTCCGTTAAGACAAAGACGGCGTTCCAATGTAATATTTTTGTATTTTGTTCGGTCATGTATGAATATATGCCAAAATTGCATTAATGAAAATACATGTCACACTTAATCGATGACGTTGAAAATCGAATATATAAAACTATGATAATTCCAACGTCCATATGGCACAGTGCACTGACTTAACCATTATTTTATGATTAGTAGTCGAAATGACAGTTATTGAATACGGCCTGGGATTTATTCGCTCGAAATTAAAAATAAATTTGATCTCCAACAAATAAACGGGACCTACGTGTTTACAAGATTAAGTTTAATTTTAAATTAAACTTTACAATCGGATTTACCGTGTGTTTGATATAAATTATCATTTATAAAGATAACCGCGCAGAATAAAAAAAAGCTATCCGTCGAGAATATTAATACTTCAAAGACTTCGATAGAGGCCCGTTAAAATACTTCATTGTGAATTGAAACGGTTTGCATCAGATATATTTACGTATGCATTTCCTGATTAAAATGACTAACGTGTTATTATACTCATCTGAAGTATCGAAAATAACGAACGAAAGATGTAAACATAGGACGACGGAAGTTTCAAATAATGCATTTTCGTCGTGACGTCAATGTTACGTTACGACGACGATCGAGCGTCTCATCTTCACGCAACGACGTGATTACGTCATCCGCATCGGAAGCCTCTTTCTCTCTGTGCGTCGCGGTTACGCAGTGAGGAAAATGACTGTCCGAAGTTAGGGCAGTGAAGGATAACAGTCAGATGGCAAGAAATATCGATTATTTCAAAAGTAAAAATAGTCCAATTGAACCGAAATTTGCAGGGAATGTAAATTACCGCACGAATGTTTTACCGAGCAAATTCGGCACCGTTTGGACAATAAATGGCCGAGTTATTGACGAAAATATAGTAATTTTGTCCGAAGTTAGGCGCTTTTACGGTACCGGAATAAATCAGTTCTTACCCGTCCACAGACACGAGGTATCCTTTATATTCCATTCCCCATTTCAGTTTCACGATGACAGGTTTCCCAGTCAATGAATTTATGAATGGTTTCGGGTTCATAGGAAGCGTAGTCATGATGATTTTCTGCTGATATCTGCTGGAAAGAAACTAGAAAACACGAATTCTAATCAACAAAGCAACGCGCGACAAACGTGCGATTCTATCGGTGGTGTACGGAGTCTGGTTTTTCTTGCTTTCGTTGATTGGATTTGTATGGTCCAGTGGCTCCCAACCTTTTCCGTTGAATTCCGATATCGTGCTCTCTATTTCTACCTCAATATACATAAAAAGCATTTTATTTATTAAATCTCCAATTGATCCTAATCCTGTAATCGTGTAAAATAGAATTATAGTAATAATAAACAACTGGAAAATATCGTATACGTATAAGTATACCTTATTATATCGTAATAATGATAATTTCAAAGTCAAGGTACATTAGTGAATGAGAAAAGCGATTTTTTTCATAAAGTAACAAGAAAACTAATAATAACAACAGAAAAATAATAAAACGAGCCATGGGTTCATTTCGTAGATAAAAAATGAAAATAATACCTATCGCACGAGCGTACACATCCGAAACGTCCACTTTATCCATACCCGTGTTCTTTCAATCTTTTTTCCAAATGACTCACTTCGCACGGCCAAATTTTTTTGTGACCTCAGGTACTAAGTTTAAAATAAAATTTAATAAAACAGAAACCATTAAAAAATAACAATAAAATTGACGATACATTCAATGTGATCGATGCTCGCATATTCTCGCACAAAAGATCAAACTTTGGTGATTATAAGTATCAATCTTTCACATTGAATCGATATTTTGTTTTAATATAGTTGAAATCTCTTTACCGCGACCACTATTGAGCCATTTCGCGACCCACCGTTATGGCGGAAATTGAGGTGTGGTGTTTTGAGATCGCCGACCAATACCATTTTTAAAAAGGGATTTGTGGCAGGGCTTGTCTACAGGATAAACATATTACATTTATAAAGGTAATACCAGATCTTAAATTAAAAGACAGCGCAGGAAATATATGATAATTTGAATATCTTGAAAAAGGGTATCGAGGCGGTTGCCACGACTAGAATTCAACTTTCACCCCTGACCCTACGCTCTCATTTCCGCATTTCGTGTCGTTTGCTTCCCGTACGCCGGCGTTCAGCATAGATTGAAGTTTTTTCTGTTTGAAGTTGAGACGAAATAGACAAAATGTTTATCAAATTGGTTTTCTATTTGTCTGTAATTGTAGCAGGATCATTCGGGTACCGGGATGTCGACTTTACCGTTCAAATTTCGCCGATGAAACGAGAATGCTTTTATGAAACAACCAAAGCAGGACGAGCGATGGACATTGAATTCCAGGTTTGTTGATAGCAATAGGATGTTATTGTTGTATTTATCCTGGGAGGTGTGAACCGATAACAGTGTTAATCATTATTGGAATGGTTAACTAGTTTCAGATATTTTTCTTGATGTTGGTGGACAACAGTATGCGTTTAACAAATTGCAGAATTGAGCAATATTGTCGGTTTTAAAGAGGATCATTATAACGATAAATGCTGATTCTTTCCCAGATAGCATGTCTTAGTAGTGCGGTATCAGTACAAAATAAAATGAAGCTGCGCAGTAACCCAAAAATCGTAATCTAAAAACGGCATTATAGGATTTTCAGAAAAAATTAATTTACAGATTTAATTCATAGAAAAAAAAAATTTAATGTTCTTAGCGAAAAACAATCAACAAAAGCGAATTTTGCTTATCTGACAACTAACTCAAATAATGATGATTGAATGATGCTTTTATTCGACGAACTACTGCACAGGAATCAATCGATCTTCCTAAATATTTCATTCAGATCCCACTCCAACAAAAGGGTTGAAAAATACTAGTGGGGTCTGGCATAGTTTAGCACCACATCCACTTCTAATCAGCCTGGCTCAACAATTTTTGCATATGTCATTCCTAACCCCCACCTGACTACTTCACCAAAAAATTATGTATCATGTCACAGTGGCGTATTCAAGACCTCCAAACTGTACGGATGGACGTCTAAAACTCGCCTACGATCACCCGAAATCGAGCAAGCTATTTTTCTCGCCGCAACGGTCCCGATATGAGAGAGACCGCCTGTGTTTGAGAGTTTGTTATGGTCGTGACGTCGTGATTGTGACGTCGTAGTGGTGTAATTTTTGGATGATATAGTCAGGTTAGGAATAACATATGCAAAATTCGTTATGCTACGCCCACTGGAAGTACTTGTGGTACTAAACTATACTAGACCCTACAAGTGCAATGAAATAGTTATATAAAGTTAAATCGCAAAGATAGCAATCTTTACAATCATGTTTTAGCTACTGCTTGTTTATTATTTCTTTTATCTCAGTGGTCGCTTTCTAAAGCCCCAATTGGAGTGAAATTCGTTATTTGAGCAATTTTGTTTTCTTTCCAGGTCATAGACGGGGGAGATCTCGACATCAACTTTATGATTCAAGCACCGGATGGCCGGGTTGTTGTCAGCGATATGAGAAAGACGGACGGGATACATACGTAAGTTCCATTGAGTAAGGGATCTTTATCAATTTTGAAATGGCGTGTTTAAAATTCTTGCTTAAATGCTGAACCGTAAAGATCATTTCATTTAGCCCCGCATAATATAATTGGTTCATGTTTGTACAGATTGAAGTGTGAAAGGTATTCATAACTAAAAATTTTACTGTGCCGGATATAACTACATTTGAGTATAACTGATACAGACATCCTTATCAATTCCATATTTGTTAGTGTAGGTTTTTCTTTTGGAAACAAGGCTCTGTACTTATATGAAATGACTATTATTCCTGAAAAGGCCACTGGACAGTGGTTTCCAACCTTTTCTGTAGAACTCTAAAAACATGGAGAAACCCTTGTGCATTTGATTAGATTTATTTTCATGAAAAGTTCCTATCAAAGTGTTTTCATTTTTTTTTTCAGTGTGGACCCGACAGTTGAAGGCGACTACGTTGTCTGTTTCGACAACTCATTCAGTCGTATGACGGGGAAAACCGTATTTTTCGAGATCATTGAAGATTCTGCCGGGGAGGAAGAAGAAGAGGATGGGGGCTGGAAAGACGCTGTCGAACCAGATGAACAATACGGCGACAAGCTCCAATCTTTGGAGGTAGCATCGGTAAATTCGTCATGTCATTATGCATGTCTGTGATTGGAACATACATAATTTGTAGTTTTTTGTTTGAGAAAGTCGCTGTGTGTAGCCATTGAGAATATATTTATGTGTGTTTGGGTAGCTCGGCTCTTTCAGTTGGAGTTGGTCACCATTGATCAAAGATTAAAGTCATCTAGAATGACTCAAATCTGAAGGAGTAAATAAGATAAATTGTGTTATCCTTAGCTCGGTTAATACGACATGCCATTATGCATGATTGAAACATAAATTGTAAAGTTGTTTAGAGTAGGCACTAGGAATTTATGAGTGTTTAGGAGGTATGAGATGGACTAGAGCAGTGGTGGGCAACAGATGGCCTGTGGGCCACAACCCGGCCCACCAAGCCATTTAGGCCCTTTCTAACACTCAGGTTTTTCTCACCAAATATAAGATCCTAATCTAACAGTTTATGTTTGTAAAGGCGCTTACATGGGTAAAAATACATAATGTTTTTTTGCTCTCATCGCTGCGTTAAATCTTTCGTCGTTTTGCTCGGTGTATTTATTACTGTAATGCATGGAAAAACTCACTTTTTTGTGTGGCCAAGCTAGTTGCCTAAAGTGGGTTATATGGCCCAATAAATGTTAAACACTCTCGGACAACGGTTTAGAGTCGTTTAAATGGGGTGACGCGGACTATTCTTCAAATGACACAGTTGGTAAAGCTTGACTATACTCGAGACGGTGGGCGGTGAATGACTATATTCCCGACACAGAGTCCATGAAATCTCACTCAACACTCGCAAATCATTATTTTACTTTTGCTTGCTTCGCTCGTAGCTTTGGTAATTTGTCTTGTCAATGTGCATGTCTATGATCGGTTCCCGTCTGAACAGATTCGAATAATTTACTGATAATGAAATGCCCAACCCTAGTTAGGTACTACTGAAGTATGCGTACCGAGATGGCGGACACTGAAACGTAGTATGTGTACCAAATTAGGGTTAAGCCATAATTTCTGGTACAAATACTACGGAAGTCACTTGTCTAGTCCCGATTTTGTAATAGAATTAAAGTAAGGAATATAGGAATAAAATTATGGCCTCATCCTAACCTGGTACACATACTACATTCCGGTGTCCGCTGTCTTGGTACGCATACTTCAGTAGTGCCCCTAGTTATGTTATGCCTGTAAATCATTTTAATTCAAATTTCTCTCTTTCCAGGACACCATGAATGTGATCCGATCGAACCTCGGAAAGACGTCTCAACTTCAAGGCTTATTACGAGCGTTTGAGGCCAAAGATCGAGGAATCGCTGAGCGAAATTTTGAGCGCGTTAACTTCTGGTCCGCGTTGAACATCATCGTGATGTTAGTTGTTCTTTCTCTGCAAGTTTACACAGTTAGGAGCATGTTCTCAGACAATAGGAAAGTCCGCACTTAAAATCAAAACACAGAGGGGGGGGGGGGGGAATTGGGGGGCTGGCTAATGAAAAAAAATTTCTACTAAAAATGCTTCTTTTAATTTCGAATATTTTACATTGGTTGCAGTTAAAACATGGGGGGGGGGTAGGCTAATAAAAAAAATTGTATTTTAAAATGCTGCTTATTATTACTTGTTTGTTTTTTATATTTCAAATTGGTTGGAATAAAACCAGAGGGACACCAAAGCACAGAGGGGGGGATAGGTTTATCAAAAAATATTGTATTCAAAAATGCTACTTGAATAGTTTAACTTCACTTTCGCAAAGGAATTATAATATTTTGAGTTGCGTTTTGTGAAATTTCATTGAATTTTTGGGTAAAAATGGTCAAATTCATTTAGAAAAATTTTTGTTCATGAAGTCTTCTTTATTTCTGAGTGAGTGCACATCCCCATGCTAGGAGAATATTCCCTACAAACAAGGTAATTCAAATTGGCAAATCATACTATTGGCAAATCTGTTTCAATTTACTGGGTTCTCAATAAATAGCTAGGTCTAACTGAGATTACATGCTTTTATTTGTATTATCAATTCTGTTAAACATTATATTGACTTTAATATGTGATATTTACGACGCTAGGGTCACCATACACTGTTTTTTGGGGAGGAGAAGTTGGTATTCTGTGTCTTTGTTTTCTATCTAAGAGTAAGGGTTTCTAACATGCGTTATCTGTGGTTGTACTTATGGAATACCGATTCATTTGAGTTCATTGAATTTCATTTTCGAACTTTCAAAGTTTCCTAGTAAAATTTGATGTCTGATAATCCATTGCTAATCTTGACTGTGCTGCTTTTGCAAGTCGAACTCTATGAACATCTTAAAATGCAAATTCCTCTGTTGAACTTTAGTATCTACTATACTAGAGCCACCATACCCTATTTTTAAGTATTTATATGTGGGTCTTCCTTTTTCCATCTGGAAATAATGATTTCGAACATACATAGGTGTTGTTTTTATGAAATATCCATTAGGGATCATTGAATTTTATCCTATTGGAACATTCACAAGATTTTCGAGCAAAATTTATTATTCGTTGCTTAGCTTACGACAATCGACACAAAAATAAAATTCCGCTGCTTTAACAAAATTCAAATCTCCACAAAGTTTCATGGACTTTTGCAAATTTCTTCTGTTGAACACAAATTAGAATATATTTGAACATTGAAATGTATTAGGAATATTAGATTTTTCAATATCGACAATCTCCTTGTGACAGCAATTCCCAACCGGGGTCCCGTGGCCCATCAAAGGGGCCACAAAGTGGTTGAAGGAGGGCCACAATGCTAGGCGCAAAACTGATTTTTCCTTCACGAGTTAACTCTCCGTTCTTTCCTTCAATTGCTTGACAAGGTTATTTCATAACGTGTTTTCACTATGTTGAGCATGAATTGTTTGAACATAATGGGATTTAGAATCTACCAATCAAATTAACACTATGAATACTACTGGAATGACAAACAGTGGGGTCATGATTGCTAAAAGCCTACAGCAGGGGCTGCGAGGTTGGGAACCACTGCATTATGACAAATTATATCGTGAAGACATTTATTATTTTACTTTTTGCAGTTTACATGGCAGTAATTTAGTAAATGATATAATTACACTTTTTTATATCTTTTGTAGAAAAGTCATTTATTATTATCGTGTGTTTAATAATTTTGAAATAAGAAATGAGGCGTGACTGACCAGAATAATTTCATTTAAACAGGCGGTACCTACCGTGTTTCCCCAAAAATAAGACTTGGCCTGACTTTTGAAAAAATAATTTTAATATAAGCCCTCCCATTAAAATATACAGACGGGTACCGATGATGCTATTTGTCACTTTGTTGTATCCGTACGTTGGCTACAATATGCAGTTCCACACACAAAACTTATCTGGCCAAGACAAAAAGTCTTCCTTAAGAGGAGCATATGAAAGAAGCCTTTTAAACAAAATGCAAATAGCATGAAGCATAAGTCTGCATTATTGTAATATATAGAATTTTCACAATTTCTTGAAGTTTCATATCGAAGTGAAATATATTCATATTATGAGCATGTTCCTTGTCTGCGTTTGTTTTATTCTGCTGGGCTGCCTGAAAATACTACGTATTTTTCCGAACATCGATTTCCTTGTTTATTGGACACGTAGTGGACATAACGATCGTTTCAATATTATGTTGTTCTTGTTGTTTGACACAGAATAACACACATAGTGGAAATATTGAAAAAACGCTTTTCTCTTCGAATACTGCACCAATTGCTTTGAAATTTTCAGTTGTTGAAGATAAAATTTCCCCCAGAAGGCTATTACTTTTTTCATTTTAAATATTTCTGTTAGCTCTGTGAGATTTGTTTTTGTTTGCTATGACGTCATTAAACGTTCTGCGGACATCGGACGCCGTTTTGTGTCCTACTGTACTGCTTCGCTTGGTGTGAATATATTTGTAGACTGTGATCTGACGGTACGGTAAACCGTGCTGTACTGCGGACAGACGTGTCCATATATTTGGGCGTAGCTCTCTTGTTCCTGTAACAATGCTAACCTTGCAAAAAAATGTATGAATCAGGTAGTACTTCATCGCCTAAACTTAAAACCGGTATTGCTCTAAAAGTTGCGCCTTGTAGCCCTATGCGCTGCACGTATGAATAAAACCCAGTCTAAGCGATATATTGTGGTCCGTAAGGTAGCGAACTTTTCGTGTCCTCGCCGATTTTGGGCACCATGTGCGGTATGTAACAGGGTGTTTTCGCCTTCCTGTGCATAAATTGTTTTATCATAATGGAATTTGTAATTCTACCAATCAAAATAGTTGATTGTCAGGTCGTCTAACTTGCAGATAACGGTCAAACGTAGTCTACAATTAACGACAGCTTCGCTTTAGACCAGGGGTGTGCTAACTGCGGCCCGCGAGCCAAATGCGGCCCACAAGAAGAAGTTGTGCGGCCCGCGGAGAAATAACAATTTCGAATGGTGTACCCGCAAAACGAGTATTTATTCTTTATCGTCGCAAAGCCCATACCAGTCATATTAGCAAAACAAACTAGCAAAATTCTGTGGCAAAATACACGATTTATATTACAAAAACGTGTTTCTCACTGCATTCGTTTGATGTCGGTGTGACAAAAATTTAAATAGCAGTTTCTTCAGAAGTTTATGCGTTTTAAATCTATTATTTCTGCAAGAACCCCTAATAATGCCGTAAGATCAATAGCAAATATAGGCAATTTTTGTGCTTGCAACTACCAGAAAGCCTAAATTAAATGAAGGTGTGGCCCGCGGCTTCACCCAGTTACTTGTATTTGGCCAATAAAAAAGGTTGCACATCCCTGCTTTAGACTACTAGATAGCCGTCGTAAAGTATACCAGATGCAGAAAATATATTTATATTATTACTATAAGACTTAAACTGTGCAAAAACAGGAGTACGATTTGCGCATAACTCTTAACTATTTGAATGTCCAATGCCCAAGAAATGGAGCGGCAGTTATGTCGTCTGTCTCCGAGTAAATCGGTATGACAGCGGTTCCCAACCGGGAGCCCGTATCCTATCAAGGGGGGTTCTCAGAGTGGTTGGAGGGGGCCCCAATGCCAGGCGCCTAACTGATTCCACATTTCCATTTACAGAAAAACTCCTCGTTCTTCTATTTCACAAGGTGTTTTCACTTTGTTGAGCATAAATTGTTTGAACATAATGGACCTTTCCCCAACCTTTGACCCCCGAAAAATTCTTCCTATACTTTACCATTGCAAAATTTTCGTGGCTATTTTAAGAGTGCTTTTGCGAGTTGGCGCCTGTAAAATGGGGTATGTGTTTCAAACCATCATTATGATTCATCGCACACAACAATCTGTTTTTTGAAAGTACCGGTAAAGAATTTCAGGTTAGTCTATCACAGCTATTTCTACACTAATTTTTATTACTGCAATTAAATTAAAACTCCTAGGACTAACGAATAGAGTTCAGAAAAGCGAAAACGAGGTAATGTTTACAACCACACTTGAAAATCTGTCTGAGTGAGAAAAGTGTCTGAGCGGATGCGGAAAAGGGGCATTGTTACATACTTTTTGCATCTTGCTGATTGGCCAATATCACGAAGTAAACAAGGAAAACGATGCTCGGGGAAAGGTCCATGGGATTTGCAGTCTACCAATCAAATAACACTCTAAACACCACTGGAAAGACAAACAGTGGGACCATGAGTGCTAAAAGCCTACGGCAGGGGTCCACGAGGTTGGGAACCACTGCCTTAAAATTATATCATGAGGACATTTATTATTTGGTTGGGTGGTTCACGTAACCGCTGGTCGGTTACGGCTTCCTCTACCACCAAGTCCATGCTTCCGAAAACAAACAATACAGTATAACTAACTAATCCCTTACCCTACTTGGAATGATAACCGGACGAGAGGCCGTGGTTCGCCATATGGATAAGCCGTCTTATCGGCTTTCCTCTCCCTCTGGATAAATATGTAAATCCTATCCTATCCTATTTTACCTTTTGCAGTTTACATGGCAGTAATTTAGTAAATGATATAATTACACTTTTGTAGGAAAGTCATTTATTATTATCGTGTGTTTAATAATTTTGGAATAAGAAATGAGGCGTGACTGGCCAGAATAATTTCATTTAAACAGGCGGTACCTACCGTGTTTCTCCGAAAATAAGATTTAGCCTGACTTTTGAAATAATGATTTTAATATAAGCCCTCCCCTTAAAATAAGATCTATTTGAAATTCATTTTGTTTTTGACTTAGTCTATAGCATGAAATCTCTCCTACACGTTTTAAATGGTTAATAATCTATGTTCTGCCATTATTTAGAATGAATTCGTGTTATTTATAAGTAAATGTATATCTGTTTTCATACTGTATATTTAAAAATATCGTAATTCTTTACTTCGCAAGTTTGTTTTTGATAAATGAAAATATAAGTCACCCCCCCGAAAATAAGCCCGAGTGTTATTTTTCGGAAGAAAATTGAAATTGAACCCAGTCTTATTTTCGGGGGAAAAACGGTAGGATGGTATTTGTCACTTTGTTGTATTTCTAAGTTGGCTACAATATGCAGTTCTACACACAAATTTAAACTTATTTGGCCAAGACAAAATCCTTAAGAGGTAGCATATGGAAGAAGCTTTATAAACAAAATGCAAATAACATGAAGCATAAGTCGGCATTTTTCTAACATATAGAATTTTCATAATTTCTTGAAGTTTCATATCGAAGTGAAATATATTCATATTATGAGCATGTTCCTTGTCTGCGTTTGTTTTATTAGGCTGGTTATCTACAAATACTACGGATTTTCCACAAGCATCAGTTTTATTTTTTATTTTGTAACAAGCGACTCTTGCGAAAGAAATCCGCCTGTACTGGCATAGGGTTTGTTCATGTGACAGAGTGTGTCAAGCTGAAGAGCTTGGCCAGGAAAACACTTGCCACCTCGTTGTTGATTACTGTGTTTTGCACACTCGAAATCTTTTTTCTCAGAAAATTCGACGGTGCGCCTAGTGTATGAATCCCTCTGCAGTTTTTCTCCACCACTTAAATAAGACTGACTTTTTTCTCGTTTAAAAATAATTTTGAGGATGAACAAATTAGATGTTGCTATACAGGAGAATTGATAAATTAAAGATAAGAAGGAAAATGTGTTTATCATTGTTATTGATATCATCAAACTCACCTCTGCCAACAAGCTTGACATTTGGAATGAGTCGGTGTACCTCGTATCCAAATATATAAGGTATTTTTTTTATCTCTAATATTAGTTCAAATAATTACAGGAATGGCTTAATTCTACATAGACTCAGACCATTGTGCAATCTCTTAATCTTTCCTATCGATGACCCACTGCTTTATTCCCGAACCATCACCCCCTTAGCTTTCCTATTTTAGACCCTCTGCCCCATCTTCCCGGACCAGTGCGCCATCTCTCGCTGCTTTCCTATCCTCGACCCACTACCATATCTCCCTCAAGTTTTCTATCCTCGACTCACTGTCCTATCTCCCTGAGCCTTCCCATCTTCGTCCCACTGTCCTATTTCTCTAAACCTTCCCATCTTCGACCCACTGTCCTATCTCCCTGAGCCTTCCCATCGTGGACCCACTGTCTCATACACCCCTCAGTTTTCCTATCCTCACTCATCCCATTGTCCTATCTCCCCAAGTCTTCCCACCCCGACCCACTGCTCTATCTCCCTCAGCCCTCCTAACCTCGACCCACTGCCATCTTCCCACCCCTCAGCCTTCCTTTCTTCGACCCACTACTCTATCTCTCTCGGCCATCCTACTCTCGACCCACTGTCCTATCTCCCCAAGTCTTCCCATCCTGCACCGACTGCCCTATCTCCCTCAGCTGCCCTATATCTCATACACTCAACCTCTCCATTCCCAAACCTATGTGCCACCCTCACTACGACCTTACAAACGCCCGATCTTCAAAACAACCAGTCGGTCGGGCAAGCTTCCAGACTTTATACGGCTCAATTATGCCAATGAGATTATTCGAATTGATGTCCAATTTACATCGAAGCCATTTAATTAAGAGTAGGCTTATCTGGAACTTCAAATGGTAATCGGTCACCACAACTGCTAGCCTAAAAATGTGCTACTTTCACCTTGGTTCCTTGTTTCTTGTTCGAATCGAACTTTGTAGCCGACTTGACCAGGGATAAATATAGAAGCTTAAGTACTGCACGTGGAAAGTTGAAAACTATCCAATACCAGTTTAGGAATACAGGGCTTGTAAAAATGATTTTTGACTTATTCCACGGCTTCCTCCACCACCAAGTCCATGCTTCCGAAAACAAACGATACAGTCATACATAAAACTAATCCCATACCCGACTTGGAATGATAACCGGACGAGAGGCCGTGGTTCGCCATATGGATAAGCCATCTGATCGGCTTTCCTCTCCCCCGGGATAAATATGTAATTACTATCCTATCCTATCCATAAAAATCCCGTCCTGCGCATTATTAGCACCGGGAATATTATGTGCAATGTAACTGTGACAAACTTTATTTATTGAATGAGTCAAAAATTATTTTTGCGA